CCTTTTAATTATCTTGAACTATCATTGATGATTTTTATGTTTTATGCTAGATCTCTTGGTACTATTTGCCCCTTCATTGTTGTAGTTGTGGGATTACTAATATCTCTTGAATGGTCAATATGGATACAGGGAAATTTATCTGGCCAGAGACAAGGGCAGCCAGTGTTTATCACCAGATTGGAAGTATGTTCACAAGTATCTGATGATTGTATTATTTCTATTATAACACACTTTCAATTTTTTCACCTTATTTTATTCGCTATTTTTGTTTGTGATGTTTTTTATGAATGACTTCCGTACTGTGCTTCAAACACACTTTTGACATTGGAGGTATTTCATCTGCATTCTATTTGATGCTTAAAGCTTATGCTTTAATTTGTTGTTGCAGGGTTATCGGAGTGCCTCAGCTTCCGAGACGTAAGTCTATGGTTAACTCATGTAACTTTTGAATTTTTTTTTTTTCCTTCTCTTTTTCAGATACACTAGCCCCTAGGGGAAATTATAAATAGTAAAAATGCTTTCATTCTGTTGCTTGTAGAGGTGGCCCTACCTTTTTTTGCATGGTTTTGAGTTCTTTGATGGTCACCGTACAGAATAAATATTTTTTATGTATATACTTAATGCCAATCTAGTTTATAGAACCTGAGGATTTTGGTTTTTGTATTTTCAGACTTGCAGCACACTGGCCACAAACCATGCAAATAGTTCGTCTTATTTCTCAGGATCACATGAATAACAAGTAAGTTTTAGTTTGTAAAAACATTTTCCTATATCTTTCAAATTTCTCATTAACTTTGTTTTATTTAACATCAGGCAATATGTTGGGAAGGCAGATTTTTTAGTTTTCAGGGCAATGAATCAGCATGGATTTCTTGGACAGCTACAAGAGAAGAAGCTTGTAAGTGATTGCAGGATAATTTTCCCTTTGAAGCAATGCAAAATTTCTTGTTTGAATGTCTTGTCAAAATTGATTGTTGAATTACTTGCCATTTTTTTTATTGTTTTCTTTTATGGACATCTATTTTGGCATGCTAATTTTCATTTTCAAGTAATTGTAGAAGTGCTGTAAACTTGATTGTCTTTGATGGGAATATAGGATACTATTTATTCAAAAGAAAAAGGGAATATAGGTACACCTTTTGCCATTGCCCTGGATGAGTATTGAGTAGTGCTCAGTTGACAGAATATTAATTGTTAGTCATAACCATTTGTTCACATGTCATATGTCAAGTGAATTTCTGTTTTAACTATGTTAAATGCATGTGGTGAGGATAGTCAAATTTCATTTTGGTTAACCAGGTGATTTGATAAACACTTAAATATTTTCCAAATGGATCTTTTCTATTTTTTACTGGAAACCAGTCAAGTATTTATGTTGTGTTTTCCTGGAATGGTTCATTAGACTGCTCTCTCTCTCTCTCTCACACACACACACACACAATAGCTTAGCTAACATTACAGACATTGTATGTAAAAATATTATGTTTGGCAGTACATTTATCCCTAGATTAGCGCAACTTGGATGAGATCACAACCCTTACCAGTCTCATGTCAATTCTGCTACTTGGTATTCAAGTAATTCTTGATTCACATAGACTAAATCTGATCAAGTTCAGGCCCCACAGGTCAAAGCTGACTTGAGGAATTGAGCCCTTTTTGACCTTTTTCAACATCAACCTGAAAACACCAACTAACAAGAAGCATCTTCTGTATTGTAGACCCTCATATAAGCGAAAGTACTGCTCAGAGTTTTCTTGATACTTACAGATAAAGCTTGAGACTTTGTAATTGTATATGAATCTCTTTTGAGTGTTTCTAGGAACCGTGTTAATTTGTGAGTTTAGAATTTCTTAAATTTTATCCTATCAATTATTTGCAATTGTGTAATTTTTTTTTTTTTGAAAAGCTTTGCAATTGCGTAATTATGGAATTACAGCTGGATTATTCTGACATAGTTTCTCCCTTCTCATTTCTGTAGTGTGCTGTAATCCAATTACCATCACAGACGTTGCTGCTTTCAGTTTCTGACAAAGCATGCCGCTTGATAGGAATGCTTTTCCCCGGGGTGAGAATTTTCTGGCCTTCAATCCAAGCTTTAGTTCGTTGAGTGTGCATTACATATCGACACCAGTTTAAGCTTCCACCTTCATTATAAAATTGTGGACTGAATAAAACCAACCTGCAATCATTCCCAACTACGCACTTCCAACACCCCACCAGGCCATCATTCCAGTCTCCACAAAACCAAAAAAAAAAAAAAAAGAACGGAAAAAGCTGCAAACTAGATGAGTAACTTGTGGCTTTTATTTGAATATTCTGTAGGCTCCATTTAGTTCTTGCTTATGCTATTTGCTTTTAGCCTTTGCTTTTGCTTCCTTGAAAGTTGCTATAAAGCAAAATGATATTTGATTAACAATGAAAAAAAATCCTAAAATGCATATTAATGCTAACATAACTATTTAATATAGAAGTACTATCATTCTTTTTTGTCAAAAATATTACTATTTTTAACTTTTAATTATTCGAAGATATTACCTGCTTTTATATCTGAGCGTGCTTTTGCCTTTTTCTCCAAATTAAAAAGCAAGTAGTAAAAGGAACAACCAAATGGAATCTTAATTTTAATCTTTCTCTATCTGTTAACTTTGAGTTTTGCATTTTATTTTGAGCTAAGCTATTTGTCGAATCAGGATATGGTTGTCTTTAAACCACAAATATCTAGCCAGCATCAACAACAACAGCAACAATTGCAACAGCAGCAACACCAGCAGATGCAACCACAGCTACAGCAGCAACAGCTGCCGCAACTGCAACAGCAGCAGCAGCAGCTTCCACAGCTGCAACAACAGCAGCAGCCCCTTCCACAGCTGCAACAACAGCAGCAGCAGCAGCAGCTTCCACAGTTGCAACAACAACAGCTCCCTCACTTGCAGCAGCAACAGCTCCCTCAGCTGCAACAGCAGCAGCAGCATCAGCTCCCTCAGCTGCAACAGCAGCAGCAGCATCCACAGCTACAGCAGCAGCATCCGCAGCTACAGCAGCAGCAGCAGCAGCAGCTTCCACAGCTACAGCAGCAGCAGCTATCCCAGCTGCAACAACAACAGCAGTTGCCCCAGATGCAGCAACAGCAGCAACTTCCACAACTGCAGCAGCAGCCGCAGCTTCCCCAGCTGCAACAACAGCAATTACCTCAGCAACAACAAATGGTGGGGTCAGGAATGGGTCCAGGTTATGTTCAAGGTCCAGGCCGTTCACAATTGGTTTCACAGGGGCAAGTTTCATCTCAGGCCCCACCTAATATGCCTGGAGGAGGCTTTATGGGTTAATCAGCTTTGGAATTTTCTGGCTATTAGAGCTTTATAGTTGTGTAGGGCTTCTAGAAATTAGAAACCACCAGTCTGTTTTTTGGCCCACAGAAACCACCAGTCTATCTGTATCTTTAGTGGCTAAACATGATCATAAGTTATGTAACATCTAGGAGAAAGTATTTTACCATCTAATTATCATGTTCCATTTTGCATTTGCTGTCGTTCATGTTTCCATTAATTTTTCCATATATCATCTATAGTAACTGATGAGGTCAGAACAAAGGCTTCGTTGATGAAAATGAATCAAAAATGATGTGAATTTAAAAGGAGATTTGCTGATGTTGAATGATCGTTTTTTAAGTTACTCATCATCTTATCGTTAAACCTTATATTAGCTGGTCAATAAGGGAGGTTACATTGATTATTGAAGTTCATAGGATCAATCCATGCACAGGTACTCAACAAAGTGATTGATGTTTACCGCTAAAGTAAAGCATTAATCTTTTGCCAAACCATGAACATAAAGTAGTCAGAAGCAAAAACATTCAAGAATTCGAAATCACACAACAGCAGAGCTTTGAAAGCTTTATGAGATTTTGGGTATCAACACCCCATACCCTGGCCTCTTTGAAGAGGACTTTTGCCGCAGAGATCTTAGGTTATAAGTTTGGAATAACCCCTCTATCTAACCCCTCCTAAAAGAAAGTAAGTAGGAAAGAAAGATCCTGTCCCAGTGAAGTGGAGAATGAATAAGATAGCAAAGCTAGCTTAAATTTTAACACAAAGCTGTTGCAAGGTTGGGGCCAAGGGGCCAGATGAACAATTATTAATTTTGACTTCGCAAATCCCTTTTTGTTTTCTGTAGATTGAACCATTAGAAGAGCCATAGGTCTAAATTCATTGATCAGGAGTCCATGATCACAGTGATGTAAACCTGACGATAATGTTAATATGGAAGATTAGTGCAAATCTTTTTTTTTATCATTTTATGGTATGCAGTGGTTTGCAGTCGGCTTTCGGCCTCCAAAGCCAGTGGGGACACCTCAAAAATGAAGAGGATGACCGGCACCAACTTTGCATAAACAAGCACCCTCCTCGCTTTAATCATTTCCCGGGAACTATGGCCTTTGTATAAAGCAAGGAAAAGAAGTATAATGATTTTAGGATTGATCTAAAGCACCAACCAACAGAACTTCCCATCACTGGTGCTGGGTCCAATCCTTGGAAAAGCAGAAATGCCAACAATGTCCTTTTGCTCCAAGCAGGGAGTTTCTAGTTGAGCTAATGCTGTTGCCTGAAAAAGTCATATGGTTCCTTAACTTAGATCATGGAGGGGAAGACCATATCACCAATTTCTGTTGTCATGAGTCCAGAGCTGTCTTATTCCTTTGAAGCCCTACATGTTTTTTTTCTTATTTAATTTTATTTTACTGAGTTACTCTAGCAAGTGAAACAAGGATCCCATTATATTTCAAATGAGATTTTTCCAACTAACCATTTTTGCACGGTTTGCTACTTTGTTAAGCTAACTATCTATCACCCCTAATTCTTTACTAGTAAAGGTTTTTGGACAAATGGAAAAAGAAATATGTCTCAAAATGGAAAAGGTTGAAACAAACTGGACAATTGCCTTAATTTGTCCTATGAGATCATGTGGGATAAATGGTTTTTGGGAGATGGCAGAAGAAATTTTCAAAAGCAGGAAAGGGTTAACCAAAGTAAATGGTATGTCATTTTCTAACCTTTATTCCATCAAGCAACGCAATCATCAACCACTAGTCCACTACTTAAACACATGATGATGATCACTAAACCTTCACATTCATTGAGGAGGTTATCTCTATCTTACTTTGAAAAAATGGTTTCAACTTCTCCACCGAAGGTGAGCATGGATATAGTTCAGTTAGCTAGCCAACACTAGTTAATTACTTTTCACTAAAGCCTGTCTTGCCATTTGAATCTAACAGGAAGTTCAATCCAACGGCAAATGGGCAGAAGGAGATCCCGCTCGCCGAGCCAAATGGTGGTACTCAACTTTTCACACTGTCACGGCCATGATAGGTGCAGGCGTCCTCAGCCTGCCCTATGCCATGGCTTACCTGGGATGGTATATATGTTGGAACTCAACTCAGTTCACAAAAGCCTTAAATCTCAACTACTCTGAGTTATATATGTGGAAGAACTTTCGGAAACTTAACTTTGTCTTTTCTTGTAGGGGTCCAGGAACAATGGTTTTGGTGTTATCTTGGTGCATGACCTTGAATACAATGTGGCAGATGATACAACTCCATGAGTGTGTCCCTGGAACTCGATTTGACCGATACATTGACCTTGGTCGATATGCTTTTGGACCAAAACTTGGAGGATGGATTGTGCTGCCTCAGCAGCTGGTTGTTCAAGTTGGATGTGACATTGTGTACATGGTTACCGGAGGGAAGTGCCTCAAAAAGTTCATGGAGATAGCCTGTTCCAGCTGCACACAGCTCAGGCAGTCTTACTGGATCTTGATTTTTGGTGGCATCCATTTCTTCCTGTCTCAGCTTCCCAATTTCAATTCAGTTGCTGGTGTGTCATTAGCTGCAGCAATCATGTCTCTAAGGTCATGTCTAATGACCCTAATCTTTTACCCTTACTAATTAAGCTTCTGCACAGATGAGATGGGACAGGAAAAAAGTTGGTTTCTAGATCTAGATAGGTTTCACCACTTGTTTATTGCAGATTAGAGTTCCTCATCCAAAGCCAGAAACTAATCCAAGTTTTTGCTAAGTGGATAATCTTTTTAGTTGCAATTTATAGTACTTACTAGTACTATTTGTGTTCTCAAGTTGAGACAAAAGTCTGTCAAACTCAAAGCCAGTTAGCCTCAGAAAGCGATCTGGTTGATCTCGATGAAAGGCATAATCACCAGCCAGACCAGGCAGCGCAGCCCCACTGCTTTAATTATGTTTGCTGTATGCTCGTGAGCATATATATAATAATCTTTTCTTTCCCTCTACTTACTGATGGTAAAGTAAGGGAGGGTCATTTGAGAGGCTTTTACGTGTTCTATAGTTTCTCCAATAGCAGCTGAAGACAAAATATATATGCAGCTGCAGTTCAAGGAAAAGGAAGCGAACAAGAAGCATCTGAGAGTTACATTACATGAAATACTCTTTCCTAGCTTATCTCTAGAGTCTTTTGACAATGATTTTGCACAAAAATCACAACCATGCAATCGAAATCCAGCAAACCAAGATGCATTTATCATTGATTTGTAATGTTTCTTCTCTATTGCAGTTACTCAACCATAGCCTGGGCGGGCAGTCTGAGTCATGGTCAGATCGATAATGTCAGCTATGAGTACAAGAACACGAGTCCAACTGATTTCATGTTTCGAGTCTTTAATGCACTGGGTCAAATTTCATTTGCATTTGCTGGCCATGCAGTTGCCCTTGAAATCCAGGCCACAATTCCATCCACTCCGGAAAGGCCTTCAAAAATCCCCATGTGGAAAGGTGCGGTTGGAGCCTATTTCATAAATGCTATATGCTATTTCCCTGTAGCCATGATAGGGTACTGGGCATTCGGGCAAGATGTTGATGATAACGTGCTCATGGCTCTCAAGAAACCTGCATGGCTCATTGCCTCTGCAAACTTGATGGTGGTTGTTCATGTTATTGGAAGCTACCAGGTAAACAAATATAGCGGTTAATTTGATCCTAGGAGTTTCAACTTGGAAAGTAACAGGTTCAAACTGCTGGATAAGAAAATTAAGGCTGTTCGATCCTGTTTGTAGCCCAAAAACTTATGGTGAAAAGGAAATCTTGGCAGGTTTATGCTATGCCTGTGTTTGACTTGCTGGAGAGGATGATCATGAAAAGGCTGAACTTCCCACCAGGAATTGCACTGAGACTCATAACTCGATCTGGTTATGTAGGTGAGTTTTGCTCCATTCTTATCCTTGGAAAATAGAACCATAATTACTAAAACAGTTTTTAAGTATAACCACGACCTTGATTCCAGATAGTAACTTCAACTACTGTCTGCTAATGATTGAAACCTGCCTGCCTGTTGGAATCCTTGCAGCGTTCACCCTGTTCGTAGGAGTTACTTTCCCTTTCTTCGGAGATCTTCTGGGCTTCTTTGGTGGATTTGGTTTCGCTCCCACTTCATATTTTGTAAGCCTCCCCTCTCATTGCCATTCAATGTTTTTTCTCATAATCTCCCTCCTGACTGCACCTTCTGCTATAAAATAACTCAATTTATCCTGAAATGTTGTTCTTCCAGCTTCCCAGCATAATTTGGTTGATCATCAAGAAACCAAAGAGATTCGGCCTCAAATGGTTCACCAACTGGGTAATCAAAATTATAAACACCTGCTTCAAACCAACTGCTTAGATAAAAAGCTATAATCTTCTGATAAAAGTTTTTTTTTTTTTCTATATTGTTCAGAGCTGCATATTCATTGGACTGTTCATCATGATGGCATCAGCAATTGGTGGCTTAAGGAATATCATCACTGATGCTTCAACATATAGTTTTTACGCATGACTGTAATCAAACTCAATTAGCAGAGACTTGCTTTTCCTAGTGATTTATTATCTTGTAAGGTTATGCATTTATCTTGAGCAAGCAGTAGCATATAAAGATGGAAACAATATTCCAAATGTACCTTTACCCAATTTCTCTTCAAACTTCAATTCCCTCTCATCAGTTCTCTTTGAATGTGGAATTGCAAGCAAATGAAAGAAAGTGTTTGAAGACAATGACAGATTGTTTCTTGTGGCAAACACATTCATGGATACACCATTTGTAAAAAAGTGATAAAACCCTGAGAGCATGACACTCCAGCTTATCATTGGGTTGCCTTTTTGCTATGATGTCATTTCCAATCAGTTGATTTGTTGCATGGTAATTAAAAGGTTATTTTAAAAAAATAATAATAATCACTCATCACAAAACCTTTATCATTAATTGTTTTAAATATTTAAAATCAAAAAATTATATTTTGATATAAAAAAAATAAGTTGATTTATCGATCTATATAAAATATTTAAAAAAAATTTAAATACATTCACGATTTTATATATTTAATTTTTAATTTCGGATTTGCTTTCATAAGATTCAATCATAATTGAATCTTACACACACGAACTGTGATTAAAAATGAAAAAAGCCAAAATTTAGGGAAGAAGACATAATTTTTTTCTTTTTTTTCTTTTTTTTTTATTTGTATGAATTGTGTGCCTACATGCTGTTACAAGGCTATAAATGAACCACTAGTTCAAGTTTTAATTTTTCATCTTCCTTTGAGGCCTACAAAAAAAATTTGAAAAAAAAAATCATTTTTCCCAAATATTATTAATAAAAAAAATAGTGGTTGGAAAACAGTTTTCATTGGAGAGACAGAAGAGAGAGTGTCTGTGCAGAGAGATAGAGATACAGAGAGAGAGAGAGAGAGAGAGGCATGGAGACTGCGATACCCGGGAGATTAACTCTCTCACCAAACACTGTCTTTAATCCTAAACCAGGTTCTTCTTTCTCCTCTCTTTTCAATTCCCCCTCACCCCACTTTTTTTAAATTCTTGTTCTTGATTTTGGGTTGTAAAGTTTGTAACTTGTCTTGATTGATTGATGAAAACTAAATGAAACGATCATAAACTCATCTGGGTAGTCGTTGTTACTTAGCTTAGTTGACGATTACTATATCTGTTCTGCTTAATTTTTCTCCTGATAATTCTTCAAACAATCCAAGTTGCACATGCACGAATGCTTTGTTAACGATTCGGATTTAGAAGGATGGAGTTGGGGGGTGCAAGCTCTAGCTTTCTGCGGATTCATTTGCTGAGGATGGGTGTTTTTGCAGACAGTTTCCTGATTATATCGGAGGAATTAAGAGATAATTTAGTTTTGTAATTAGAAGCTTATCAGCTGGGATTGTTTGAAAAGCTTTCGGCTTTCACCTTGTAATTTTTAAAGGTCTTACAGATTGATGATTGCCAACTTGTTAAGTGCAAGGTTTTGAGTTTCACTGCTATGCTAAGGGGGGGAATTTAAGCGTTTGCAGGTGAAGCATAAGCAAAATTTGCTGGTTGAGGAAAGAGCAGAGTTGGCATGGATGGAAACTGTTGTAAAAGAACTTACTTTTATTGAATTTACTGAGGATAACGTCTTAAATAGGGTAACAGTAGCGCAATATGGTCCTTATGGCAGCTTAGTTTGCTGTTGTTTGTCGGTGGGAAAGAGTTCTAGACTCTCTGAGGAATAGGAATGTTTACATTTAATGATGCTTTAGTCGTTGATCCCTAGTTAGAGATTTTCTGTTCCACGTATTGGTTATATTGTTTTGAGGTTAACAAATTTGGTTGTTGATGATTGGATCCCTTTTGAAGTACTTACTTCTTCATCCAAGAAAACGGTAGAGAAAAAAAAAATGGAGGAAGCCTGCCATTTCTTTGAATATCTGAAACAGTCACTTGAATCTGTCTCAATTTCCTAAATCTTTCTTTGATTCCCTGTTAGTCAAACTTACTTCTTACATTGGTATCACTAGAGCATATATATGGATAGTTGCATGATTTTCATTAATTATAATAAATTTGATACTACGTAAAACAGGGGAGAAACAGGCTCTTTGCAAAGGACCATGCACCAATCGTGGCATTCTCATGGCTATATCGACCACAGGACCAGGTAAAGGAGCAGGAGTGTTGGAGAAGCCAGTTATAGAGAGAACCACTCCTGGTCGTGAATCTGAGTTTGATTTGAGGTGTGTGCACTAATTCAAATTTCTTTTGTACCTTTTGAGATGTTGATGTGAAAATATTATGCATTAATATTTCTTTTTTATCAGCATTCTTCTTGTAAATTTGTTGGCATGTTTCCCACTTCTTAGACCATTTTTTAAAGCATCTACCATTTTTTTGGTTGGTTGCATAAAATTAACTTGCTTAATCTACGAAAAAATACAGTTTTGCATCTTATGAGCAATAGTGATGGGTGCACCTTCTATGGGACATTTCAAAATCCAGAAACCAATTGCAAACGGAGGAGATTTCCATGTTCATGTCCTGTGTCCTATTTGTGGTGGCTTTTGTCTCGTGTGTCTGACATTTAATTGGAGTTCTTCAATAATTCATATAGCATTCGTTTTCATTTGGTTTAATTTGCTTGAATAACGAATAAACTCACATTTCTTCTAATTGACACAATTAGGTCTAGCTTTATTTGTTTTCTTATATTTCTTTCTCCATAAAGTTCACTTTTTTAGAACATTTTTGTGGTTATGACTTGCATAGGAAATCAAGGAAAATAGCTCCACCTTATCGAGTGATACTGCACAACGACAACTTCAATAAACGTGAATATGTAGTCCAAGTACTGATGAAAGTCATCCCTGGTATGACCCTTGACAATGCTGTTAACATCATGCAAGAAGCACACTACAATGGCTTGGCAGTGGTGATTATATGTGCTCAGGCCGATGCTGAAGAACACTGCATGCAACTAAGGGGGAATGGGCTTCTGAGTTCAATCGAACCCGCGAGTGGCGGTTGCTAAGGACAGACAACCTAGGAGACCATTTTGGTATTGTTCACTGTTAATATACCCTTTTTAGAAATGTTAGATGGTGTATATTTCAGTAGTGCTCATATTGTATGAACCCTGGACATCCCCTATGGTCAAAATTAAAAGACAAGAGGATGGTACTGATTTTGAATAAACCTGGCTCCATTTACTACTCAATCAAGGGTTGTTTCTATCTTCTGTCCCCGAGGCTGTCTTTGTATATACTGCTCAATCTGGAATGAGTTCACAATATGAGCACTAGAAAAGAACAAAAATGTGGATAGGGCGAAATGAACCTGAAGAAAGACCAGGAACAGGACACGGCTCAGATGACTCCAATCCAAAGAAAGGGACCAGCTGCCATAGAATTATATGTACATCTTTTATTTTACAAATTTTATCCGTCAACCGCAACTGACAGGGAAGGCTACCCCAACATAAACAAGAAAAATAATGGGGAAGGCAAAGAATGGCATGAACGTCATCATGATCGTTGATCATAACTAGATTTACTTGTCGTTTAATATCTCAACTTCAACAGATACGAGATTTTTTTTACAATGGTCAGACCATTTGCAGTAATTGTTACTTTCCATTTTACCAGATCATGAACATCAATTGAACCAGTTTGCCAGATTTGACCGAGTTGTTCAAGTAATATGAACCACGCATCATATTGGTTCCAAAGATTGTAAAAAAATCCCATTATGTAACGAAATGGATAAAAGAATCCCATTTGGTTAGGTATCCAGAGATGGTTAAAAAGTTGAGAAAGAATACAGCAATGAGAGTCAGATAAAATACAAAGTAGAAAACAATGACATCCCCAAAGGTGCTACCAACATCACATAGGTTTCAATCCTTCGAATATAATTTTTTAACTCCTTATAGAAGTTCACTTCAAAATTAGCTCTTGTGCGCAATCATGCTCCATGAATTTGGAAAATGAGAATGTCAACATCTGAAATTTGTTAGCTGACCTGTTTGCGATCCCTGTTTGCAACACAACAGGCACAAAGCAGAGTGATTATTGCAGACTATACACTGGGAAGCATTCAACAACAGGATATGCATGTGTGAGCATGCGGTAGCACTTGTGGGTAGGCAAAAACACTATAATTCCGAGACAATACTAGTCATTTCTAACTAGGCTCCCATACTCTGCTCTCAATGATATTGGTACATTTGCATGTGTGGGTACTACAAGGGGAGAATGAAAAGGATGTGGGGTGGCGGACGTGTGTGCTGTCATGCACCAGTCTCTTGTTGTGTGAGTGTGAGTGTGTGACATGTGTGTGGTGTGTGTGTGTGTGTGTGAGAGAGAGAGAGAGAGAGAGAGATAGGGAGACTGCCATGCCTCGCCTGGAATGAGAATATAAGAGGAATAAAACCATTATCTATGAAATACCAAAACAGCGGATCAATTTTGATTTCAGAATATTCAATTGCTTTATCTGAATTTGAAATATCAAAGCATTCATTGGAAGCCTTCTCCTAAGTGTTGACACAATAAAGGGCATCCCCCACACCCCTACTCTGATGAACATATTTTCTGGACATCAAAATAGGCACTAACCATTGGTAAGTCATCAAGCCTCCACCGTTGAGAGGAAGGATTGGATTCCAAAAACAATGAAAAGAACTCCACCTGAGAGCGCAACCTGCACCAAAATGATAAAAACTTGGTTTTACAAATTGCTCAAGGGATTAATGTGAAAACCATCGTGGCATAAGGGTAAAAAGAAAAGTATGGATCAGGATTACAAATTTCTCAGATATCTGAGATGCCAAGCTCTTTCCTCCAAGGACAGCAACAGTGGTGCACAACGCTTGTCCTCTGGAAGAAGGGAAACAATACTAATCAGTATATACAAAAGAAACCAATTATGAGAACACATATACAGAGTGGTTTCAAAAAAGGAAGGAAATAGCATTGCTTCAGTAAATACATGGAGATATCAAAAGCTATAACTTACACAATGCCACCAATAACTACACCGAATGGGTTCCCATCTGCAGCCAAACCAATGGTAGCAAGCTGACAAGACATTAAACTACTCAGTCCAAAATAATGAAGACGCAATAGTGACTTGTTTCAAAAGAGAGAAATATGCCGTTCATGAGATAAAATTTACCTGGCTCTTGTCACCCCATTCACCAAAAAATGTGATGGAAAATGCCTGCAAAATAGGTACTG